TTCTTGCTGTTTGACGTCATCATCTGACAGAGCAACCTTACAGTTCCTGAAAGAAACCACGGGTAGTGTAAACATTTCCATAACTTAATAAGCAATTGGCGGAAAATATTTAAGCAAACCAGTTTCTGCCAATGGCGCCAGATTTCGGACGCAATTAACATCGGCGTAGCTAATAATTATAACATTAATCTTCCAAACAGGATTTCGCACGCGAGTCCAAAGTAAAACCTTTCTTTGGTGATGGGTACCTATACCTGGAATAGTAGTGGTCACGCACGACGACGTCTCGAAAACATCGAATTTAAATTATTACATAACCGTAGCTCCACGTTCCTTATAAGGCAAGTCGGATATTCAAATGATGTACCGAGATATGAAGAATGATTAATATTAATCATGGCGTGTAGGAGAGTTGACGTTTTGTAGTTGGCCATAATTCATCGCGGAATCTAATTCGGCAGTGAACAATGGAGTTATGTAGATTCGTGTATAATTAAAACTGATTTAAGAGGATTTTGGCTTAAATGGAGGTGAGCTACTGCCAAGTATGCAACCGATTGAAGTGAGCTGTTGGTTTGGTTGCATATGCGCCACAGAATTCCACAACCGTGTATCGTACCATGTATGTATCCCGATTCTCAACAGCAGAGAGCAGGGGAGGTCTCTCGGGATGCACGAAGACACAGAAGACACCAGGTGATGGTAGGTACGAGGACGCAATAAGAGAGGTTGCGATAGGGCAGTATAGGACAGTGGATTAGAACCAAATAATACGTGATGACAAGAGACCACATAGTAAGACAAAAGAGAACAGGAGGGGACAAGAAAAGACGTGAGAGAACAGAAAAGGTAAATCTGTGGATCTTAGATGGTAGATCCTAGATTGTTGATCTTAGATTGTAGATCTTAGGTTGCAGATCCTTAAATTGTAGATCCTAGATTGTAGATCCTAGATTGTAGATCCTAGATTGTAGATACTAGATTGTAGATCCTAAACTGTAGATCCTAAATGGTAGATCCTAGATTGTTGATCTTAGATTGTAGATCTTAGGTTGCAGATCCTTAAATTGTAGATCCTAGATTGTAGATCCTAGATTGTAGATCCTAGATTGTAGATACTAGATTGTAGATCCTAGATTGTAGATACTAGATTGTAGATCCTAAACTGTAGATCCTAAATGGTAGATCCTAGATTGTTGATCTTAGATTGTAGATCTTAGGTTGCAGATCCTTAAATTGTAGATCCTAAATTGTATATCCTAGATTGTAGATCCTAGATTGTAGATCCTAGATTGTAGATCCTAGTTGTAGATTCTAGACTGTAAATCCTAAATTGTACATCTCAGATTGTAGATCATAGATTGTAGGTCATATATTGTGATGTTATACAAGATACTTACAGGGTCAGAGAGGAAAAAGGTGGCTGATGGTTGGATCTGGCAGATGAAGGCGTGAAAAGTATGAGAGGGCATGAGTTGAGTAAGTAACGAAGCAAAAGATAGTAGGAAACGACAGGATATGGTAAAATAGAGCAGAGACAGAACAGAAAGTGACCGAACAGGGTATGAAAGCGCGGATTACATCAGGAAAAGACAAGACAGTTCGGGAAATACCAAAGGAATCGGGACAAGTACAATAGAAGATAAAATAGGACAAAACCAAAAAGACCTGATAGAAAAAATCAGAAGAGAAGGAGAAACTACAGCAAAGAACAAGGTTGTCAAACCGAAACAAGAGCGAATAGAAGATAGGAAAGAACGTGATAGGGCACATGATAAGGAGAGACAAAGCGATAACGGTAAATGGGACAAAAAGACACCAGAGAGCATGAGTGAGCATGAAGAGAAACGAAAGGGGGGAAACACACAGGAAAGGGCAGGGGGTAGGTCAGCTGAGGACAGGAAGTGCACGAGAAGATCGGAAAGTTATAAGAGAGCAGGAGAAAACATAAGAGAATAGGGCCAGTGCCTGCAGGAAGAAGAGAGGACACGATAAGGCAGTAGAGGACGGAAGATAACAGCGTAGAGGAAAAGAAGAGAGAACAGAAAAGAGCAGATGATGTCCTGTCAGTCAGAGTGGACGCATGGAGGACAGTAAAGAGCAGTAGTGGGAGGGGTTCGAAAACAAGGCAAGGGTGAAAGACGCAGATAGAACGAGGAGAGAGGGACAATGAAAAAAACAAACGGAGCCGGGAGAGGTCAGAATGAAAGAACAAGTGAACAGAAAAGAGTAAGAGAGAAGACAGGAGAGACCATGTTACAGTAGAAGAGGGAAGGAGTGGGCAGGAGAGAAAACAGGAGAATGAAAGAGTATGTCCAGAATGAAAATGGCAGACGAGAGAGAAAAGCGGCATAGAAGACAACGGAGGTGAATAGGGATTGGATTAAGACATGGCAGAACAAGTTAGATTAGAAAACATCAGTAGGAAGGGCATAGAAGAGCAGGACGGAGAATAAGAACATATCAAATGGTACGATAGTGCAGAGAGGGACAGGAGACAGCCGGGTGGAGCAATAGAATGTCGGGGAAAGAACAGAAGGACAGATCTTAGATTGTCCATCCTAGATTGAAGATCCTCGATTATACGTCCTAAACTATAGGTCCGAGATAGTGGATCCTAGAATATAGGCTTTAGATTGTGAGTCCTAGATTCTAGATTCTGTTGAGGTTGAAGCTCCTAGATTGTATATCCTAGATTGTATATCCTAGATTCTAGATTGTAGATCTTAGATGGTAGATCCTAGGTTGTAGATCCTAAATTGTATATCTTAGATTGTAGATCTTAGATTGTAGATCCTAGATTGTAGATCTTAGATGGTATATCCTAAATTGTAAATCCTAGGGTGAAGATTCTAGTTTGTAAATCATAGATTGTATGTTCTAGATTATAGGTCCTGGATTGTAGATCCTGGATTGCAGATCCTAAATTGTAGATCCTAGATTGTACAGAACAAAGCAGGAGAGAGCAAGAAATAACAGGAAAGCCCAAAGAGTGAAGAGGGCATGGCGGAAAATGAGGCATATGCACAGGATGGGGCAGACCACATCAGAAGTGGACAAGAAAAGGTGTGCAATACAGAATAGGAAAACGCAGTAAAAAGTAGACGGGCATGAAAGATCAGAATGGGACAGGAGCAAAGGCCCGTTCCCCTTCCAATTCGGTTACAGGGTAGAAAAGCTGAAGGGACGCCTTGCGATAGGAGAGAGTTAAGATGCAAAAAGATAGAGGACAGCAGAAGGTAGGAGAGGGAATGATAGGGGGAATCAGCAGGATACAGTAAAATACAGCCGTAGAGAGTAAGAGAGGGTTGGAAAGGACAGACAAGGCAGCAAAAGACTGGAGATTTCTAAACAATAAAATAGAAAGGGCACCCTAAAAGAGGACAGGCGAGACCATGATACCTCAGCAAAGTGAAGGGGAGGACAGGGCTTAGAAGAGCAAAACGCAGAAAGAGAGAATAGCAAATCCTATCTTGAAGATCCTAGATTGTAGATCTTAAATCGTAGATCCTATATTTAAGATCTTACACTGTAGATCCTAGATTGTAGCTCTTAGATTGTAGATCCTAGATTTTAGATTGTAGGTCCTAGATTTTAGATCGTAGATTGTAGATCCTCGATTGTACGTCCTTAATTACTTATGGGTCCTAGCTGGTAGAGCCTAGAATGTAGATTTTAGATTGTGAGTCCTAGATTCTATTGAGATTGAAGCTCTTAGAGATTTTAAATTCAAGACTAAATCCTGGATTGTAGATCCTAGATTGTTGATCCTAGAATATAGATCCTAGATTGTATATCCTAGATTGTATATCCTAGATTGTATATCCTCGATTGTAGGTCCTAGATTGTAGATCCTAAATTGTAAATCTTAGATTGTAGATCTTAGATGGTAGATCCTAGATTGTAGAACTTAGACTAGATCCTATATTGAAGATCCTACGTAGATCCTAGATGTAGCTCTTAGATTATAGATCTAGATTTTAGATCGTAGATTGTATATCCTCGATTGTACGTCCTTAATTACTTATGGGTCCTAGCTGGTAGAGCCTAGAATGTAGATTTTAGATTGTGAATTCTAGATTCTATTGAGATTGAAGCTCCTAGATTTTAAATTCAAGACTAAATCCTGGATTGTAGATCCTAGATTGTTGATCCTAGATTGTAGATCCTAGANCCGGCCCGTAGCGCAGTTCAGTGGAAGCTCGACTGCGGTACAGGGTCCCTGGTTCGAATCCGCGTTCGGGCATGGATATTTGTAAATGTATAGTGGGTTGGGTTGGTAGAGCAGCCTCGGCTGAAACCCCGCCCACTTAAAAAATAAAGGCAAAAAAATATCCTAGATTGTATATCCTCGATTGTAGGTCCTAGATTGTAGATCCTAAATTGTAAATCTTAGATTGTAGATCTTAGATGGTAGATCCTAGATTGTAGAACTTACACTGTAGATCCTATATTGAAGATCCTACACTGTAGATCCTAGATTGTAGCTCTTAGATTGTAGATACTAGATTTTAGATGGTAGGTCCTAGATTTTAGATCGTAGATTGTATATACTCGATTGTACGTCCTTAATTACTTACGGGTCCTAGCTGGTAGAGCCTAGAATGTAGATTTTAGATTGTGAGTCCTAGATTCTATTGAGATTGAAGCTCCTAGATTTTAAATTCAAGACTAAATCCTGGATTGTAGATCCTAGATTGTTGATCCTAGATTGTAGATCCTAGAATATAGATCCTAGATTGTATATCCTAGATTGTATATCCTAGATTGTATATCCTCGATTGTAGGTCCTAGATTGTAGATCCTAAATTGTAAATCTTAGATTGTAGATCTTAGATGGTAGATCCTAAATTGTAGATCCTAGATTGTTGATCGTAGAGTGTCGATCTTAGATTGTAGCTACTTCCATAAAAAGGTGATCGTTCCCACGTCGCTTTTAGACAAGTCGTTATCAATATTATTCTAGAGGAAAAGATGATTCTTTGAGAAATAAGTTTTGGTCAATGTTATTAGTCGTTTAATATCAATAAATCTGACAACCATTTCATAACACAATCAAGGAACCGTTTTCAGAACCGGTGACGTTCTCTGTTTGTAGTCTGAAATTACATTGCACATTACGATTTATTTAAAAAATCCGCACAGGCACGCAAGAGTTCGTACGGTTTCTGTAGATGTGGCCAGTGGCCAGCGCCCTGAATCGTTTGAAACTCCGCATTCGGAAACAATTGCAAGATTGGCGAACGATCGGTTTCCCTAAAGAACTGCGATTGGAAAAAGTACATTCGGAAATAAGATTCTACTCACGGAAAAAATGTTGAGTCGCCTCCGTTTAGGAATAAGATGGAACCATCGAATTTACACTCAAAGCACTTAGCTGGTAAGGTCACGAAATTGGCATAGGGATCTCTAACTAACGTTGAGCTATTTGCTCTCCAGGCGAAACTGCAAAATTACACCCTAAATGAAGTTTACAACCATTATGGGTATTATCTACCTTCCGTCAGGTTTTCGGATGAGATTGTTGAGAAGATGGCGTCGAACATTGGCCTCTTTTATGTGCTTTGCCAGTTGATCATCAATGTGGACTCGTGCGTCTGCCATGGACAGTGCTTGGGATGGCATTTGAGCATTAAGCATGTGCGTAACGCTATTGAACATTGACTTCAGAATCAAGGGGACACTTACAGGTGAAATGTCTACCACTATCACTTTATCTACAAGTTGAGGCTAGACTTGGCATGACAAGTAGTTATCATCGTATTTAATTAATTTACATATTTAAGGCTGAAGTACATCGCGGTGTTTCCTCCCATCGAATGCCCCAACAAACTTGCCTTGCCCATCCCACGTTGGTCGAGGAACAGTTTTAGATCTTCGGCGAGGCGCGGGTAGTCGTGCTCTGGACAGTGAGGACTTTCGCCATGGTTACGTAGGTCCGTTGCAAAAATAGAGCGGGACGATCGTTCCGAGAGTCCTCGACAAATGCGGTCCCATTCTTCCTTAGATCCTAAGAGGGCGTGCAATGCCACCAGGGGAGATCCGCAGTCCGATGTGCCCTCGTAAGCTTTGAAAGCCATGCTGATGGCGCCCGAGCTGAATTGTGAGTTGAGGTTTATGGGCCGACGCAAACCGAAGATCGTTCTGGCGGCCACACCTTCAAATCGTCAGTGACATAATATGCAAAGCAAATAGGCTTACCTTTCATTGTAGAACCTAGTTTTGGATTTCGTTTAAACTTTTCTCCAATCTAAGTTCATTTTGACTATCCCGTGATGCTGGCACTGCGTTTGCCTTGAGCATAGGTGGATCGCCAAAAACTAAGACACTCGTATTGTGATAAACCGTAGTTCACACGGTTTAATTAACCTTCGCATTTGCATATAATCGAGCGCGGAAAGTGCTTCTAATGCATTCACATTATCGGTCAGGTCACGGTCCTGTCAATTACTGAAGCGTGCGATGCTTTGATAAGGTGAGGATATGGCGTTGGATTCGGCGGCTGCGCCTCCTCACCTCGCACTTTAATTATTTTTTGAAAATGACGTTTTGGTATGGGGCTTCGGGGACTCACTTCGTTTATATTTATATATATATATATATAAAGTTCAAAGGGCTGTAACTTTTGATCTAGTAGTCCAATCTTGGAACTGTTGGAAATTATGGATTCTACGGGCCAAACTCTATATGGAAATGTTTTTTCCCGGTCGATCTAAGACATTTTTTTTTCCGGCCTCAAAAAAAAAGGCAGTTATTTACCTTCCTTTTTTACCAAAAATCGACTGCTCCAAAATTTCTCGGGAAAACACTTTTTCTCAACGATTCGTACTTTTTCGATCTGACCTCTCAATCAAAAGTTATGGACTAAATACAAATTTATATATATATATATATATTTTTTATTTAGTCCATAACTTTTGATTGAGAGGTCTGATCGAAAAAGTACGAATCGTTTTGGATTCTACGCACCAAAATTAGTGAGAAAAAGTGTTTTCCCGAGAAATTTTGGAGCAGTCGATTTTCGGTAAAAAAGGAAGGTAAATAACTGCCTTTTTTGAGGCTGGAAAAAAAAATTGTCTGAGATCGACCGGAAAAAAACATTTTCTTATAGAGTTTGGCCCGTAGAATCCATAATTTCAAACAGTTCCACGATTGGACTACTAGATCAAAAGTTACAGCCCTTTGAACTTTATTTATATATATATATATAGTCGAAATTTTTATTTAGTCCATAACTTTTGATTCAGAGGTCTGATCGAAAAAGTACGAATCGTTTTGGATTCTACGCACCAAAATTAGTGAGAAAAAGTGTTTTCCCGAGAAATTTTGGAGCAGTCGATTTTTGGTAAAAAAGGAAGGTAAATAACTGCCTTTTTTGAGGCTGGAAAAAAAAATTGTCTGAGATCGACCGGGAAAAAACATTTTCTTATAGAGTTTGGCCCGTAGAATCCATAATTTCAAACAGTTCCACGATTGGACTACTAGATCAAAAGTTACAGCCCTTTGAACTTTATTTATATATATATATATATATATATATATATATCTATATATATATATATATATAAAATTCAAAGGGCTGTAACTTTTTGATCTAGTAGTCCAATCTTGGAACTGTTGGCAATTATGGATTCTACGGGCCAAACTCTATAAGAAATTGTTTTTTCCCGGTCGATCTAAGTCATTTTTTTTTCCGGCCTCAAAAAAAAGGCGTTATTTACCTTCCTTTTTTACCAAAAATCCGACTGCTCCAAAATTTCTCAAGAAAACACTTTTTCTCACTAATTTTGGTGCGTAGAATCCAAAACGATTCGTACTTTTTCGATCAGACCTCTCAATCAAAAGTTATGGACTAAATACAAATTTATATATTTATATATATATATCTGGTTTTTAAAACCCAAATAATGAATTGCAAAGCCTTTGGAAGATACTTGCGCAGCCTCTTTCAGACCGTTAAAGTGATGATCCACAAATTACTGACTAGGGACTAAATACTATGGATCATAGACTAGGGAGTATGGACTGTGAACTGTATTGGCTATCGATCATGAACGTTAGACCGCGGAAAGTCATTACGTACTGTAGACTGTGTACTGTGGATTGCAAGACTCTAAATTGTGGACTGCCGACTATCAACTATGACTATGGACGATGGACCACAGACCCCGACCCGTAAACCATGACTCGTAGACAATGGATTCTACATTTCGTAGTCGATTTCAAACTCTCCCCTTCCACTTTTGCTTTTGCTGGTGGCCCAAAACCCAATGCCAAACCGATATTTTTCCTGGACGCGTCCTTACTATTTTTTTTCTAGCACGCCTACAAAATAACGTTAACAGTTTAAATCTTGCGATTATTTCCGAATGCGGGGTTTCTAACAATTCAGGGCGCTGGCCACTGGTCACACCTACAGAAACCGTTCGAACTCTTGCGTTGCGGATTTTTTTAAATAAATCGTAATGTGAAATGTAATTTCAGACTTCAAACAGAGAACGCCGCCAGTTCCGCAAACAGCAAACGGTTCCTTGCTTCTATTACAAAATTGTTGATAAATTTATTAATAGTAAACGACTAATTAGATTGACCAAAACTTATTTCTCAGAAAAACAAAGCACTATATCCTTTCCTCTATAATGATATCGACAACGACGTGGGAACGATCATTTTTTTTATAGAAGGATCTACAATCTAAGATCGATATTTTAGGATCAACAATCTAAGATCTAGAGTATAAGATTTACAATCTAGGATCAATAATCTAGAACCTACAATCTAGGATCTGAAATATAGTCCACAATCTATGATCTGCAATATATGATCTACAATCTACGATCTAAAATCTACAATCTACGATCAACAATCTAAGATCTACGATCTACAATCTACGATCTACGATCTACAATCTACGATCTACAATCTACGATCTACAATCTACGATCTACAATCTACGATCTACAATCTACGATCTACAATCTACGATCTACAATCTACGATCTACAATCTACGATCTACAATCTACGATCAACAATCTAAGATCTACAATCTACGACCTACAATCTACAATCTACGATCTACAATCTACGATCTACAATCTACGATCTACAATCTACGATCTACCATCTACGATCTACGATCTACAATCTACGATCTACAATCTACGATCTACAATCTACGATCTACAATCTACGATCTACAATCTACGATCTACAATCTACGATCTACAATCTACGATCTACAATCTACGATCTACAATGTACGATCTACAATATACAATCTACGATCTAGTCAACTCTCTACAATCTATATCTACAATCTACGTTATACGATCAACAATCTACGAACTACGATCTACAATCTAGGATAGACAATCTGGAATCTTCAATTTAGGATCAAAAATCTAGGAACTACCATCTATGACCCACAGCCTAGCATCTAAAATTTAGGATCTACAATATAGGATCTAACTCTAAGAGCTACTATGTAGGATACGCAATCTAGGATCTATAGTGTCGTATCGTATGGGTGGCGGTCCCTAGGTACAGACATGTTCAGGGTCAAGACTATATAATCCACAATCTAGGATTCCAATCTAGCAACCATATAGGATCTACAAACTAGGGCCCACAGCATATAATATACAATCTAGTTTTACAATATAACATCTAGAACCAAGGATCTGCATCTAGAATCTAAGAACTTTAATATAGAACTTATTATCGAGGATCTACAAACTATGATTTACAATCTAAGATATACAATCTATCTAATATCTACAATTTAGGGAACGCACTAAGATGTGCAATCTAGGATCTTTAATCAAAGATAGACAATCTGGGATCGACAATGTAGGATCATAAATCTAGGATCTACCATCTATGACCCACAATCTAGCATGCAACATCTAGGATCCACAATATAGGATCTAAATCTAAGATCTGATATGTAGGATCTACAATTCCGGATCTACAATCTAGGGTCTACAATGTAGAATCCACAATCTAGGATCTACATTCTATGATCTACAATCTAGAATCCACATTCTAAGTCTAGGATCTGCAATCTATTATTTACAATCTAGGATATACGGTCTAGGTTATAGAATCTATGACCTAGAACCTAGGACCTACAATTCAAGATTGACAATCTAGGATTTACAGTCTGGAATCTAGAATCTACAACTTGTGTCTTTTACCTCCGCCTTGCTATCTGCTCCATGACCGTCTTCTAAGTCCTCCCTCTACTACTTTGTTCTCTCCTTTATATGTCTTCTCTGTCTGGACATTACCTACACTTTGATAAATGTATTAATAGTAAACAACTAATTAGATTGGCCAAAACTTATTTCTCAAAAAGCACTATATCTTTTCCTCTGAAATGATATCGACAACGACGTGGGAACGATCTTTTTTTTTATAGAAGAGTACAGTCTAAGATCGATATTTTAGGATCATTAATCTAGAACCTACAATCTAGGGTCTGCAGACTAGGATCTACAGTCTAGGATCTACAATTTAGAGCCTACAAACTAGGATCTACAATCTACGAGCTACAATCTACATTATACAATCTCGATTTACTATCTATCATCTACGATCTACAATCTGCGATTTACAATCTAGGATAGAGAATTTAAGATAGACAATCTGGAATCGCCAATTTAGGACCAAAAATCTAGGATCTACCATCGACTACCCACAGTCTAGCATCTAAAATTTAGGATCTACAATATAGCGTCTAACTCTAAGAGCTACTATCTAGGATCCACAAACTAGGATCTATAGTTACGTATGGGTGGCCGTCTATGTGACCTTCACCTAACGACTGTCGTGGTATGACTGCTGAGACCGTCAGATTTACATCCGAAGAATTATAGGGTCTACAAACCACAATCTGGGATCTATAATTTAAGATATACAGTCTAGGATCTACAACCAAGGGTCAAGAATCTAGGATTGCAATACAGGAACTACAATCTAGGATTTATGGACTAGGATCCACAGCATATAATATACAATCTATTTATCTATTATAGGATCTATATCAAAGGTCTTAGATTGTAGATGTAGATCCTATCTACAATCTAAGACCTTTAATATAGCACTTATAATCGAGGATCAACAAACTATGATTTACAATCTAGGATCTACAATCTATCAAATATCTACAATCTAAGATCTACAATCTAGGATCTACAATCTAGGATCTACAATCTAGGATCTACAATCTAGGACATCTGTCTGGATATCATCTGCATTTTCATTTTTTCACCTCTTCGTTTGGCCTCTACTGCTCCCTTCAAAAGCTCAGCCAGCGTCATAAAGACCTTTCAAGGTTTAGCTTTCAGCCATTCTTGAAAACTAGGGCGCTCTTAAATAGAAACGTCTCTTATAGACTGGAGAATTCACAGAGACCCTTAAATATTAAAGGTTCCTTTGTTATAGGTCTTTAGAGAGCTTTTATGGTTCTTACTGCTTAAAGAATAGAAAAAAATTTCAGAGGCTGGGAACTCCAAACCCTTGCCGACGTTTTGAGGCTGATTTCGACTGATTTAAAGACTTTTACAAAACCCTTCAAGGCATTTGTCTTAAACACTCTTAAACCCTATGCAGGATGTTTAAAACCTCTGGTTTTTGAAACAATTAATGGATTCCAAAGCGTTTGGAAGGTATTTGCAATCTCTTCCAGACCGTTAAAGGGCCCCTAAAGGCTCCAAAAGCTCATTCTGGAGTCCGCATTTAATGTTACGTATTATGGACTATCGATTATGGATTGCGGACTGTGGAGTATGGACTATGGACGATGGACCACAGATCCCGGGTCTTATAGATCATGGATTCTAGATTTCGTAGTTTAGAATTGGGCTTATGCGCTGAAAACTGTAGGTCTTAGACTGTTCCGGTAGACTGTTGATGGTATACTGTCGACTATAAAGTGAAGAATATGGAAAGCTCGCTAGAATAATTCTGACCCAGACCTTTTGGTCATGTAAAATACATGAAGATTGTGTTATCGCCCGTCAGACTGGCGCCGATTATTCCCAGGCAAAATGCGGATTCAACCTGAGCGCAATTGAGTTGGCGTTGATGTTGTCTGCACACATTCAGAAAACTGCCGGCGTCAGTGTCACTAGTGACGTTTACACTTGACAGTCTGAACTATGGCCGTAAATACCAAAGACTTGGCGCCATTACAATTTCCAAAAATTCACCCCGAACAAGCGGCCCGCGAGTTCTTGCACTCGAAGGCGTTTGACTCTGTGGTCAAGTAAGCTCAATTCTCACTTGCCCTTTTCCCGAAACGATCGTTTCAGGAAGTGTCCGGAATGGGACGTCGCGCGCGCCGATCCCACCGGCGAGCTGGTGCTGCAGAAGCGCGAACTGCACAATGCCGAGGCGCGGCTCGCCAAGAAAAAGGAGGAAGCCGTTCGGAAACGCGAGGAAGTCGACGCGCTCTGGCGAAACCTGGACCAGAAAGAGAACGTGCTCAGATCTAACTTTGTCAAGTTCAACCGGGTAAGTAGCCGGTGGGCAGTCGCGATGATAACTCACTCCTTCCGAAGTTTATCAAAGAAAACCAAGAGAAGCGCGAGCGCGCCGAGAGAAAGCGAACCGAGGCGACTGTCAACGCCAACAAAACTGAGGTCGCCATTTACAATTTGGACTTGGAGTACAAATACATGGCGGACATTAAGTCGAGAATGGAGAAGAACATTAAGAGCCATTGGATGTACGAGGTACATTGCGGGGTGTTAGTTCTCCTTGTTTAAGAGTGTCTTGCAGGACTACCTGTTGAGGGTGACGAAGTCGTACCCGATCTTTCGCACGTACGACGCGATCTTGGACCGCTACGAAGCGTTAGCGGAGGCGAGAAAGGTCCTCTCCGATCGGCAGGAGGAAGACTTGAGCACGCTGGAGGAGGCGAGAGCGAACGTGATCAAGATGACGGAGTCGAAGACCTTGGAGGTGATGGGGCTGTATAACTTAATCGCCGAACTGCAAATTCGCTACGAAGTAGCCAAGACCAAGGCCTTGCATTGGGAGACGATGGTTGCGCGCATCAACTCCGAGCTAAAGGCCAGATTGGAAGATCTGCAAAACGTAAGGCAGGCCTGTTGGGCTTTGTATTTGTCGATGTGTTCTCGGAAGGAGGTCGAGTCGAGTTTGTCCGAGGAGAACGTTGAGCACCAGTTGCTCTTCATCAAGTCCACAATGGGAGAGCTTAAGGGCATTACTAAGATTGCTCAACGAAGAGCCAACAAGGAGCTACTTGCGAAATCAGACTCAAACAAACAGAAATGAATCACGCCTTTGCAGGAATACACCAAACAATTAGCAATAAACCTTCTTTCTTTAATTTAAAATTGGTTTGCGATATCGTTTGCTTGGTTCATCGGTCCTATTGGATCTTCTCTCCTACCTTCTCGTTGCTCCTTTTTCCCTTTGCTGGTTCCTGGTAGCTCTTTACTCCTTGCTATTTATTTCTCTGGATCCCTGCTTCCTCGCTTCTCAGTGTTCGTTTTTCGTGGCTCGTTGCTAACACCTCTGCCTAAAACATCATCTCACGGGCGATCATCACATCTACCCATGTCCGTTCTTCTTCTTTAGGAGACTGACCTTACAACTTTTCGGTTTTAGCAACACAGCTCGGATCTCTTCCCTTCTTGCGAGGAGAGGTAGAGTCCATAATTTCAAACAGTTCCAAGATTGGGCTACTAGTTCAAAAGTTACAGCCCTTTGAATTTTTTTTCGAAATTGGTTTCTAGTCTACAACTTTTGAATGAGAAGTCTGATCGAAAAAGTACGAATTGTTTTGGATTCTACGCACCAAAACTAATAAGAAACAGTGTTTTCCCGAGAAATTTTGGTGCAGTCGATTTTTGGTAAAAAAGGAAGGTTATACACTGCCTTTTTTTGAGCCCCGAAAAAAAATTGTCTCAGATCGATCCGGAAAAAAAATTTTCTTATAGATTGTGACTTGCCTATAAGTTGATTTGATATCCAGGCTGATAATGCATTTTTCGTCACTTAGCCGGTCTAAAATAGCTGAGATATATAGTAAAGGATAGGCGTCTTTTTACATATTTATTATCCAAAATCGACACCGAATCTATAATAATCGGTATCGGCATCGGTATTACCTAAAATTCGCATTAAGTAGCACTTTGAAGGGTGTGGGTTACACTACTATTAAAAAAAATGGCTACCAAGGCCATATTTTCTTTTCAAGGTCATCAAAGTTTAATGACTTCAGTTTTGTCATATTCTATTTCATTTTCAAGGTCATTTTTCATTTGCAAGTTTATCCAAGATCAATGATCTTCATTTTTCAAGGTTATCAGAAGTCGAGTGCCCCATTTTTTCTCCCATTCAGCCTTAGGGACTGTTGCGGTTTTTTGGCGTAAGGGACTGCAGAATCTTCCTTTACTGACGAGTACTCCATACTCGGAAAGCCGTTGGTATCAAATTTTATGGCTTCTTTCCAAAAATGAAGAAAGTCCATACCAACCAGCAAAAAATACTCCCAGGATGCAACTTCTATTCAGCCCTACGGACTTTCGTGATGTCCTTCTATAAAAGACTTCCGAGTGTTTGGGGAAGAATGCAGAACTGGGAGTACTCCCCTCCCACCCCCAAGCCCAAATATCTCCAGTTGTTTAGGGGTTGGTTACAGATTATTAAACTATCAAAAAAGCAAAAATGTTCGGTGTACTACGTAAAGGAACAACCCCCGCAATGTAAGAGTGCTTTACATGCAGGTATGAATGTCTTAAAAAATTTCGCAAACCTAAAGTAGACGGAAATTTATTAATAAAGGGTTGTTTAAGGGTTGGTTACAGATTATTTAAACATAATCTATCAAAAAACAGAAATGTTCGGTGTACTACGTAAAAGAACAACCCCCGCAATAGAAGAGTGCTTTACATGCAGGTATGAATGACTTAAAAAAGTTCGCAAACCTAAAGTAGACGGAAATTTATTAATAAAGGGTTGTTTAAGGGTTGGTTACAGATTATTTAAACATAATCTATCAAAAAAGCAAAAATGTTCGGTGTACTACGTAAAGGAACAACCCCCGCAATGTAAGAGTGCTTTACATGCAGGTATGAATGACTTAAAAAATTTCGCAAACCTAAAGTAGACGGAAATTTATTTTTAAAGGGTTTTTAAGGGTTGGTTACAGATTATTTAAACATAATCTATCAAAGAAACAAAAATGTTCGGTGTACTACGTAAAGTAACAACCCCCGCAATATAAGAGTGCTTTACATGCTGGTATGAATGCCTTAAAAAATTTCGCAAACCTAAAGTAGACGGAAATTTGTTAATAAAGGGTTGTTTAAGGGTTGGTTACAGATTATTTAAACATAATCTATCAAAGAAACCAAAATGTTCGGTGTACTACGTAAAGTAACAACCCCCCCATTTTAAGAGTGCTTTGCCTGCTGGTATAAATGACTTAAAAAATTTCGCAAACCTAAAGTAGACGGAAATTTATTAATAAAGGGTTGTTTAAGGGTTGGTTACAGATTATTTAAACATAATCTATCAAAAAACAAAAATGTTCGGTGTACTACGTAAAGGAACAACCCCCGCAAAATAAGAGTGCTTTACATGCAGGTATGAATGACTTAAAAAATTTCGCAAACCTAAAGTAGACGGAAATTTATTAATAAAGGGTTGTTTAAGGGTTGGTTACAGAATATTTACACATAATCTATCAAAAAAACAAATGTTCGGTGTACTACGTAAAGGAACAACCCCCGCAAAGAAAGAGTGCTTTACATGCAGGTATGAATGACTCAAAAAATTTCGCAAACCTAAAGTAGACGGAAATTTATTAATAAAGGGTTGTTTAAGGGTTGGTTACAGATTATTTAAACATAGTCTATCAAAAAAACAAAAATGTTCGGTGTACTACGTAAAGGAACAACCCCCGCAAAATAAGAGTGCTTTACATGCAGGTATGAATGACTTAAAAAATTTCGCAAACCTAAAGTAGACGGAAATTTATTAATAAAGGGTTGTTTAAGGGTTGGTTACAGAATATTTACACATAATCTATCAAAAAAACAAATGTTCGGTGTACTACGTAAAGGAACAACCCCCGCAAAGAAAGAGTGCTTTACATGCAGGTATGAATGACTCAAAAAATTTCGCAAACCTAAAGTAGACGGAAATTTATTAATAAAGGGTTGTTTAAGGGTTGGTTACAGATTATTTAAACATAGTCTATCAAAGAAACAAAAATGTTCGGTGTACTACGTAAAGGAACAACCCCCGCAATATAAGAGTGCTTTACATGCAGGTATGAATGACTTAAAAAATTACGCAAACTTGAAGCAGACGGAAATTTATTATTAAAGGGTTGTTACGGGGTTGGTTATAGATTACTTAAACATA